AAATTAGGGCCTTCTATCTGAAATGCCATGGGTCCTAGGAAAGCACTCAACCCCCTGGCAAGCTGGGATGCTCCACACCCCACCCCAAGAAGGCCATCAGAGCATTCTGCTTCTCACAGGCCACAGACCTACAAGAAATTGGCAGCCTCGGGTCCCTGGTAAGTCTCCCCGAGACGTGACTTCCCAAATCAAGTTACTGAACCTGTTTAAACACAGACATGCACAAATACAACAAAACTGGAGTCTTAAAAGGGTGTAGCTGACACATACAGGTGAGTCAAACCATGTCCAGGCAGTTCTCAACTGGCCCACAGAAGGCAAGTGTCAGCCACCCAATGGGGAGGCCTGGCCTCAGCTCCATCCCACCAGCTGTCGCACATCACACAGGTGGAAGAGCATGTTCCTGCAGCGCCATGGCGGCCAACAGCCTCAGCGGCAATAAGATCCTGGGGTTCAGAGAAGATACACTGACATAAAACACTCCACGCCTGGCTGTTCCCCGCAGAACCTGGCCAGCCAGTCCAACGGCCAGCCCACCAACAGGCTCCTCATACCCTTGTCATCCCGGAGGGCCCAAGTTTAATGCCTGGAGGCAAGGTCACAGCACTCTTAAAGCCAGTCATCCTCAGCACCATCTGCACTGACTGGAAACTTACTGTGAACAAGAAGCTCCCATAACTTACTAACTCCAAAGAAAACTAACAAAGTCAAAGGATTCGGGACAAAACCAACCAGTTAAAAATAAATATACAAATGACCAATAAACATGAAAATTTCAACTCACTTATAACTTAAGAAATACAAATTAAAACAATGGGGTATAATTTCACTTATCTAATTGGAAAAGAATGAGAAAATGACCAGTGCTAGGAGGAGGAAAGAAGAAAGGGATGGGGAGAAACAGACAGATAAATGAATAGATATGAAATAGCAGCTATAAGTTGGCAAAATAAACTTTCCATAAAAATAGTAGAAATACATATTCAAAACTTTTAAAGGTACATACCTTTTACCCAGTAATGTCACTTCTAGGAATTTGTCCTAAAGATCAGTAAGAATCTCGTATTGCTTTAATATAATCAACAGTCTTCACATACTTTATGTGTATATTCTATATATAATCTTTATATAAAGACAATGATATTTACAGCACTGTTTACTATGGAAAACTATTGGAATTAACTTAAGATACTGGTTAGTCATGGTTTAGACATGAGCAGAAATAATATGCAGTCATTTTTTGTTTTTTTGTTTTTTTGAAACTGAGTCTCCCTCTGTCGCCAGCCTGGAGTGCAGTGGCACAGTCTCGGCTCACTACAACCTCTGCCTCCAGATTCAAGCGATTCTCCTACTCCTGAGCAGCTGAGACTACAGCCATGCACCACCATGCCCAGCTAAATTTTGTATTTTTAGTAGAGACAGGGTTTCACCATGTTGGCCAGGATGGTCTTGATCTCCTGACTTTGTGATCTGCCCGCCTCAGCATCCCAAAATGCTGGAATTACAGGTGTGAGCCACCATGCCTGGCTATTTTTTGTTTTCTAAAAATATTAATGACATGAAAAAACACTTGCAATACAAACACTGGTAAGTTGGAGGAGGAAGCTGGCTACACCGTGACATGCCTATTTGACCCAAATTCTGTAACACAAGAGTGCGTGCATCATACGTGCACATAAAAGACCAGAAGGCCGGAGGCTTTAACAGTGGCTCATCTTTGGACAGGAGAGTTACCAATGGTGTTTGCTCTCACTTCTTTGTGCTTGGCTGTTTCTAAACTTCCTGTGATGACACTGTTTAGAATCCAAAAAAGTCTCAACATCATCTAATAAGGAAGCACAAATGGGATGGAAACCTTCTCCCCCTGACAGACAATTGGTGCTCCAAACATAACTGTGGCACCAGCATCATGACAAATGCCGTAAGATAACCAGAAACACCAAGAAGCGGTCGGACAGAGAAAGCCTGGTCTGTCACAGGCATGCAGAATGACTTTGCAGAAGAGGGAGCTGTCTAAAAAGGTCCTTAGGATAGGGTAGATTCCCAGAGAAAGCATTTCAGGTAGGGGAATCCACAAACTAGGGACACGCAGGCCAAAGAAAGCCTGGGCTGAGGCCATGAGGGGTGGGTCATCTATGCTCCAGTCTGAAGGAACAGGGCTCTGGGCTGAGCACGCTGCTGCGTGGGCATAAGCTGTGTTTCTTTGGATTTTTCAAGCCTATGCTGATGACAGTGGAACTGACGAAATACTGATGTAGTTAAAAGGCATTGCTAAGTTCATAGTGGCACATTGCTTGCTATCTGTTCCTCATAGGAAAATTCATCTACATTTACTGCCCCTTCAAACCCATCCCAATCCCAGCATCAGCCTTTCTGCTACTTTCTAAAGTGGCCAAGGACACTTGCTTTCCTCAACCTGAAACACCCTAAACATCTGTATAGCTCCCCACTCCCCATTGCAGGTCCTGTGGAAGGATAGGAAAAAGTCAAAGGTAAGTGGGAGAAAGGGTAGTCCCACGACCAGAACCAGAAGTACATGCTGCTGGTTTGGCGAGGAACAGATGAATCACTGTAATTAAAGTAAAAACGGTTGGAGAAGCATAAGGGGCTGCAAAATGGGGAAGAGCCACCAGGTCAAGATCAAGAACACATGCCCCCTCACACACGCACACCAGAATCCTGTCCCTAAGCACTGGGGACTAACTGTGGTAAATAGTCAATGACAAAAACTCTGAGAGAACATAAGGCAGTTTCCCACCCAATATCTTAAAATGCCAAAGAATTCTGACCTGCAATATTTAACTCAAAGTGCTCTTGCATTCATTGTATTTCATCTTGAGAGGTAAGAAGAAAAGATATCACGCCCATTTTATAGCTGAAATACTTGAACCAATGCTTGGCATGTGAGGCAGCACCCCTTCTTTGCCAAGTGGAGCCGGCAGAAGCAGACAAGTTGACATCCCCAGGAAGGCAGAGGCAGCCTCTGTAGTGTTAGCAGCCCAGACTGCAGGACGAGACCTGGTGAGTGCATGTCCTCCAGACCTACCCTGGGCCTGGTTGAGGCCTCCGATTCTCTGGAGCTGTGTGTGTGAGGAGGCAGCCACCCTCTGCACAGGGCTAACGAGCCCAGACTAAGTCTTTAACGTTCATGCTAACCAGTCGTCCCTGGTTAAACAGTCACTGTGAAGGACAGCAGGAAGGACCCTAGGATGAAAGGAGGAAACTGTTCCGCACCTTGAATGTGTTAGTGGTCACACAACTGCACAGACCTAGGCATACACGAATGAGCGTTTTACGCTGCTGAGACCCGGTAACGTCTGTGTCCAAGATATGACGGTGTGCTAGTCACACAAGATGTCACCATCAGGGAGGCTGAGCAAAGTATACGTAGACCTCTATATTCTCTCACAACTGCTTGTGAATCTACAATAATCTCAAAATAAAAAGTTAAATGAGATTACATACCATATGTGCTTACTGGCTACTATACTAGACTGCAGCTGTGTTCCCACTGAGTTAAAGTAACCTCCCACCCATGCTTGTGGGTTCTTCCCCTCACCTAACCCACAGTTGGCACACTTGATTTGGGGGAGTTGGGGGGCACTGCTGTGCTCCAGAGAAGATGGGTGTGGGGCCGAGGTCATGGGGCAAGGATAAGGACAGGATCTTAGGATAAATCAGAGATTCATTAAAAGACCGTGTACCCGCAAGTAAAGAAGAATCCTGCAACTCACTGTAGCAGGCTGGAGAGGTGGCTGTCCTGTTGCTGGGACACAAACCCCCAATCCTCTGCGGACACCCTGTAAATCCTACACCAAAGGTCAGAGCAGCACAGGGAGTGGGGGCTGTTAGACTTGCCTCCCCAGAGACCGGGAAGGGAACACCCGCCCTGCACCCAAGATAGGCGAGTTGGGTGTGAGGGCTCCCGCTCCGCTGTTAGGAGCCATTCTCACAACTCTGGGAACAGGGATGCAAAAAGAGAAAGGGCAAGAGGGCCGCTCAACTCCCAGAGAGTAGCCAGGGAAAGGCTGGAGGCCCCCCCGCCGCAGGATCCCCCAAGAGCTGCAGCTCCTCCTCAGCCTGCGGGGTCCACCACGGAGACCCTCACAAACAATAGCATCTACAGCGAAGGAACCACCCCCGCAAAGGGCAGAAGCGCCAGATCCTATCAGCCAATTACCCAGACGCGCACCGCGACCCGCAAGTTCGGGCACGCTCCGCCCGGGCGCAGGCAGCGGGAGGGGCAGGGCACGCCCGTGAGGGTGGTCTGGGTCCGGGTCTGGGCCGGGGGCGCGCCCAGGAGGCGGCTGAGTCGGGGGCGCGCCCGGGAGGGGTCTGGGTCTGAGTCAGGGGCGCGCCCGGGAGGGGTCTGGGTCTGGGGCGGAGACGCGTCTAGAGGTGGGGAAGTCTGGGTTGGGGGCGCGCCCGTGGGGGTGGGTTGTCTGGCCCGGGGACGCGCCCGGGGGCGTGGTCTGGGTCTGGGCCTCCCGAGAGCCCGGTGGGTGCCCTCGGTCTGGGCCGGGGAGCGCGCCTGGTGCCTGGCGTTTGGTACCAAACGGGTGGGGGACGCCCAGGTCGGAGCCGGCGCCTCCTTTGCAGCACTGAAGGTGCCTCGGCCAGGTCCATCCCCCGGCCCGGGCCCCCACAGGCCCCTCCACGGCCCCGAATGCGAGCAGCCCCTGGTCCTCCATTCGCCCCGGAAAGGCCACCCGCCCCTCCAGTGTGCGGCGCGCCCCGGTCGCCTCTCGCTCGTGGAACAAAAGAGCAGCTCCCGCGGCGCGGGTCCAGAGCCTGCACGGTCTGTCGACGGCCCTCGGCCCCCCGAGCGCCGCGGCCGCCGGGCTTTGTGTCCGCGCGGGGGGCGGGAAGGACGGCCGGGGTCCCGGTGCGCGTCCGGCAGAGCGGCGCGCGGCGGCCGAACTCGAAAGTTGCCGCCGGTGCCAGTCGCCTCCGCGGGGCGCCCCATTCATTAGCCAGGAGTCGGGGCGCGGGGGGCTCACCTTGCTCTTGACTTCCACCGCGCTGCAGTCGTAGAATCGCAAGGTCTGAGACTTGTGAAAACTCCGGTTCATGGTTTCGGCCCCGGTCAGCCTCGCCGTCGCCCTCGCTCCTCAGGGGCCGCAGAGACTCCCGGGGGCGGCGCCCCCAGGCCCCGGCCCGGCCCCTGCTCGCTCGGCCGCCGGGCTGCTCCCGGTGCTGCGGGCCGAGCTGGGCTGGCCGCGCGCCTCGGGGACTCCAGGGGCCGCGCGCGGGAGGAGCGCCGGGGACGCCGGCGCGCGCCGCCCCGCCCCCACGCGCCCCGCCCCGCCTCCCGGCGCCCCGCCCCGCCTCCCCGCGCCCCGCCCCGCCTCCCGGCGCCCCGCCCCGCCCCCACGCGCCCCGCCCCGCCTCCCGGCGCCCCGCCCCGCCCCCACGCGCCCCGCCCCGCCTCCCCGCGCCCCGCCCCGCCTCCCCGCGCCCCGCCCCGCCTCCACGCGCCCCGCCCCGCGCCCGGAGGCCCCGCCCCGCCCCGCCCCCACGCGGCTGCTCCGCGGAGCCCGGCCGGTAGGTGCGCGCTCTTTTCTCCACAGTCCCGGAGCCCGAGGAAAGAAGCCTCGCGGCCAGCCCGGGGCGGCTCGTTTGGATCCGCTCCACTGAGCGACCTAGGAGAGGGGCTGAGCCTTGCGGTTGTTTTGGGTAACGTTCGGGAGAAGAATGCTGACGAGAACCGCTGGAGACCCAAAGGCATCACCTGTCAGTACTAACGTCAAGTTGTTGACGGCCTGGGAGAAAGGTTTTATCAAACGGGCTTAGGGCAGCCTGGATAATACGGCGAAACCCCGTGTCTACTAAAAGTACAAGTTAGCCGGGTGTGGTGGTGTAGGGAGGCTGAGACCGGAGAACCGCCGGGACCCGGGAGGCGGAGGCTGCGGGGAGCCGAGGTCGCGTCGCCGCACGCCGGCCTGGAAGGCAGAGCCAGACTCCGTCTCGGAAAATGAAAAGTGAAAATAAGGGCTTAGAGGGCTGTGTCAGACAGCCTGTCCCGGGGAGACCATCAGAAGGCCCTGTGGACGTGCGCGATGTGCGAGGAGACTTTTTGTCTAAGGCAGCTGGAAGAAGAGAACGTGTCACGACAAGGAATCAATGGCTAGCAGCATCACTGAGCAGTTATCGATCAAGAGGCGTCTGAAACCAAAGATGCAGTCCTTGCCCTGACGAATTTGTGATGAAGTGCGGGAGACACGACCGTTTTTTAAAGGGATCATTGTAAAGCATACTATGAATTGCAATTTACAAGTTATGTAATTATAAATCTCATCATAAATTCATTTCAAAAGAAACCTGCAGAATACAAATAAGTGAAAAAACTGTGAAAAGTACCTGCAGCCATGCAATTCAGCAATGAATTATATTAACCTTTGGTGTATTTTATTTTCACTTATTTTTCTGCATATATATTTCTATATTTTACAAAATTGTGATAATGCTGTTTATTTAGCTTTACAACCTGCTCTTTTCAGCTTATGCTATATAATGAACTTTCTTTCCCTCTAAAAACAGGCTCTTGCTATATTGCCCATGCTGGAGTGCAATGCCGCAATCATAGCTCACTGCAACCTCAAAATTCTGGGCTCAACCCATCCTCCCACCTCAGCCTCTTGAGTAGCAAGACCACAGGTTTGTGCCATGACACAGACTAATTTTGTGTGTGTGTGTGAAGATGGGGGGTCTCTATGTTGTCCCGCTTGTCTCAACTCCTGGCCTCAAGCAATTCTCCCACCTCTTCCTCCCAAAGTGCTGGGATTACAGGTGTGAGCCACTACACTTGGCCATATTAAATGTTCTTAGATATTTTCTAAAAGGTGCTTATACGAATATAAGCATAATTTATAATCATTTCATTATTGTTGGATATTTAAGATGTTTCCAATGTTTAGCTTTTATATCATACTGTGTTTTTAAATTTCTTATATTTGATGTTTTAGATTAACTTTTAAAATTAGAACTGCTAGGCCACAAAGTACACACCTCTAAAGCTTTTAATACAAATTGCTTTCATAGAAATCTGATTTTCCTTTAGTTTTGTTAAGTATTTACCCTGTTACATGGTGGGACTTAGTGCCAGGGAGTACCATTACAAAGGCACTGAGTTATAATCACTGCCTTTTACAGAAACACTGGGCTGGTCAGAGGACCGGATATGTAAACAGAGTTCAAAAACACGGCAAGTGTGCAGTAAGCAAGCAGACAAAAAATGCCAAGAGACACACACTTGGCAAGCAGACTGTGGACACAGATGCTGACATTCTTTCAAGAGGAATTTCCTAAACTGAATACGGATCTTTGGACTTGAGAAAAGTCACAGGCTCAATGCTGACTGCAAGTTGCTCATTACAGACGGCAGCATTGTTTTGTGGTTAGAAAAGGCTCAATAACATCCTGAGGGTAAGCTCCAACTCACACATTTTGAGAAATGGAGAGGCAAAGGACAATGTGGAGTAATGAACAGTATTGTAGGCAATGAAGGTGGGAGTGGGGTCCACGCAGCAATCTCCGGGTTTTGGAGTGGGAAGAAACCTTTTGAAGGAAAGGCTGAAAGGCTGCAGAAGTAGCTGTAGACTTGGCTTCTGGACCAGATCGATGAGAGTGAGATCATTTTGTCAATGCCTATGGCTCAGAGTGTGGTGTAAGGCCCAAAATCTTTTCCACCTGGTGCTTGTTAGCAACATCCCACCCCAAACCCACTGAATCAGAATCTGCACTTGAACAAGATCCGCAGGTGATTCACATCCACATGGAAGTTTGAGTGGTGCTTCTCCTTTATCTTAATAATCGGCTGCTCCACAGTTCTTGATTGGCTTGGTATGCAGGCAAAAACAGGAGGAAAGGGTGGGAAAGCTGGCTGTTGCATGTGGAGCTTGAGTTTCCAGCTGAGACTTGAACAGAATTTGTTAGGGCTTTGAGGTCTTAGTTGAGTCGGGTATAGACCAAAAAAAATTAACTGAGCCTTCAGCTGGAAAGGTTTTTACATGGTACAGCAGCAAGATTGAAGAAAACACACACACACACACACACACACACACAGCCTCTCCTGCCTGACACAGTGGCTCACACCTGTAATCCCAACACATTGGGAGGCTGAGGTGGGAGGATTGCTTGAGGCCAGGAGTTTGAGAGTAGCCTAGGCAACATGGTGAAACTCAGTTTCTCAAACAAATAAAAAAATTAGCTGGACATGCTGGGGCACACATGTAGTCCCAGCTACTCAGGAGACAAAGGTGGGAGAATTGCTTGAGCCCAGGAGGTCGAGGCTGCAGTGGGCTATGATTGTGCCACTGCACTCCAGCCTGGGTGACAACGAGAGACCTCATCTAAGAAAAAAGAAGGAAGCAAGGGAGGGAAAGGAAAAGAAGAAAGAGAGAGAAAGAGAAAAGAAGAGAGAGAGAAAAGACTCCACAGGTGCTGGCCTGATAGCCTGCCTTTTCACACAACCAGAGGGTCATGGGAGCCTTTAAGGGGCCAACTGGTTTCAGACAGAAGATGAGAGAGAAAATAGGAATGAGTAGGGGTTAAATCTTCCTCAAATCACAGCTTCTAATAACCTATCCAATAAGTGAGCCATCAGTAGCAAAAAGGAAATGTGTTGTGAACCCAGTAAAATGTATATCCTGACTGGGTGCAGTGTCTCATGCCTGTCATCCTAACACTTTGGAAAGCCAAGAGGGGCAGATTGGTTGAGCCCAGGAGTTTGACACTGGGGAGGCTGAGGTGGGAGGATTGCTTGAGACTGGAAGGTCAAGAATGTAGTGAGCTGTGATTATGGTACTGCTCTCCACAGTGAGACACTGTTGAAAAGAAAATGAGGGCAGCCTCTTTTTTTTTTTTTTTTTTTTTTTGGAGTCAGAGTCTCGCACTGTCACCCTGGCTGTAGTGTAGTGGTGCAATCTCGGCTCACTGCAATCTCCGTCTCCTGGGTTCAAGCAAGTCTCCTGCCTCAGCCTCCTGAGTAGCTGAGACTACAGGCATGCACCACCACACCAAGCTAATTTTTTTTGTATTTTTAATAGAGACGGGGTTTCACCATGTTGGCCAGGGTGATCTTGATCTCCTGACCTTGTGATCCACCCGCCTCAGCCTCCCAAAGTGCTGGGATTAAAGGCGTGATCCACCGCACCCAGCTGGCTCTTTTATAATTGAACATTTGTTACTTATACATATGTCCTAAGAAAATATTCTCTAAGATGATTCTGTTGGGTAATAGGAAAGCATCACTGTAACATCTGAACTAGCAGGCTGTTGCATTTGCAGTGCATTCTAATATATTTTCTGGATGAGGCAGGAGAAGAACTGATATTCGATTGAAATAAGGAAATGGCACAGTAAAGTACTTATGCTTTGTCATTACCTGATTCTCGTGTAAAGGCATCCCTTCTTTTTACCCTTTACTCTTCCTGTCCTCAAAGAGGTCTCTTCTGCCTTTTTTTTTTTTAATTTTTATTTTTTGAGATGGAGTTTTGTTCTTGTTGCCCAAGCTGGAGTGCAATGGCATGATCTTGGCTCACTGCAACCTCTGCCTCCCAGGTTCAAGTGGTTCTCCTACCTCAGCCTCCCAAAGTTCTAGTATTACAGGACTGAGCCACCACGCCCAGCCTCTTGTGCCTTTTTGATGCAGTAATATCTTTACTCTCAATGGAAGTTTCATGCCCAAACTGACTTACCAGTAGCCCTTTCAACAGATGGCACTGTCAGCCAGAACAGAATGAATTCCCTGCATTCCAGAGCCATGTGGAAGTCATTGCTCACATCTGCCCACATCCTACAAAGTGGCTCTGCTCCTACCTCAAACAGCTTGTAGTGTGACCTGCGTGTCCATCCCCAGGTGGAAGATAAAAGGCAGGTAAACCTCACCCAGTTGTCTCTGACTTTACTTAAAACTCTGGGACACTTTTTCAAAATACAAATAAAAGCACCTAGAACATGAAGCACAGTCTTTCTTCCAAGGATTACACTAAGCACGGATTAGAGTGTCAGAATCTGTTTTAAAAAGAGTCAATCCATAAAGCTTTTTACTGACTTGGTGAATGTATCGGAATAAGATTTTATGGCAGAAAAGCGTGGTCAGTCTTCAGCCATGCAGCATCCATTCATCGGCATGATTCATCTCCTGGTGCATACTCCCAAGGCATTTCAGAGGTTCCAAGTAGTTGCAGGCCTGCTGGATTTCCTATCTGAAGAAACTGCATGCTTTTCCTCTTGCCTATGTTAGCATGGTTTCTTGGT